TAATGTGGGAATCTGTTTAAAACAAATTTCTTTAAGGGAACAAATAACTCAATTACCGAGTACAAAGCGTTATAAAAAGTAAGAATCATTTCTGAAAGTTCCTTTCCTTGAAGAAGCGCATCCCAATCCATTGCCTCCAAACATTGGCGTATACCATCAAAATTGGCGTGGCGAAAATCATAATAATACTCTTTTCCAGGAGCATCACTTGAGTTTATCTTATATTGAATTGACGTTTCAAGAGGAGGATGATGTAGATCAGGTGTGATCAATATATCAACGGCTACCATCACTGAAAGTTCCACCGGGGATAAAACAAGGTCGAGGATAACTCCTCTTTGGTTGAGCACTTTGTTGGACTGGAAAAGATTGTAAAAAGCACATATGTTCGAGACGATTTCGATAGCACTTTCTTCCGATAGTGATGAACTGGGATGAGCTGTTAATAAACCTAACTGTGACTGATATATTAAAAGACATGGTCATGATTATGGAAAGCGGGCCGGAGAGTATATTTGCCAACTTTGTTAAAAAGAAAGAACTTAATCCATCAATACCAGGAGAAGAGTGGTTCTTCAACTTAAATAAGTTATATCTTTAACCGACTTCAAAAAAGGAGGAGGTTATCAATTCGTCGCGATATTTTTTTTTATGTATGTTCGGCGATAATTATTTAACACGGTGTCCGATTTCAATGATCCTTTTTTTGTTAGAAAGGGGGTACTTTAGGGGTGGTCCCATATAAATTTGGTAAATATCTAATAATTGGGTCCATGAGAAATTCCTTAAATTCTTCATTTTTCATGTATATTTATCGATAATGCTTTACCACCTCGTCCTATTTATATGATTCTTTTTACTTTCCTATCTGTATACAGATATAAGGAAAGTATAGAAATCATGATTTTTTTCGACCTCGAGTTTTCGACGGATTTTTACGTTTTGAGGTCCCCTGAATCCGTTTTGACTATTTTCGCGATAATATATGTGTGTGTGTGTGTGTGTGTGTGTGTGTGTGTGTGTGTGTGTGTGTGTGTGTGTGTGTGTGTGTGTGTGTGTGTGTGTGTGTGTGTGTGTGTGTGTGTGTGTGTGTGTGTGTGTGTGTGTGTGTGTGTGTGTGTGTGTGTGTGTGTGTGTGTGTGTGTGTGTGTGTGTGTGTGTGTGTGTGTGTGTGTGTGTGTGTGTGTGTGTGTGTGTGTGTGTGTGTGTGTGTGTGTGTGTGTGTGTGTGTGTGTGTGTGTGTGTGTGTGTGTGTGTGTGTGTGTGTGTGTGTGTGTGTGTGTGTGTGTGTGTGTGTGTGTGTGTGTGTGTGTGTGTGTGTGTGTGTGTGTGTGTGTGTGTGTGTGTGTGTGTGTGTGTGTGTGTGTGTGTGTGTGTGTGTGTGTGTGTGTGTGTGTGTGTGTGTGTGTGTGTGTGTGTGTGTGTGTGTGTGTGTGTGTGTGTGTGTGTGTGTGTGTGTGTGTGTGTGTGTGTGTGTGTGTGTGTGTGTGTGTGTGTGTGTGTGTGTGTGTGTGTGTGTGTGTGTGTGTGTGTGTGTGTGTGTGTGTGTGTGTGTGTGTGTGTGTGTGTGTGTGTGTGTGTGTGTGTGTGTGTGTGTGTGTGTGTGTGTGTGTGTGTGTGTGTGTGTGTGTGTGTGTGTGTGTGTGTGTGTGTGTGTGTGTGTGTGTGTGTGTGTGTGTGTGTGTGTGTGTGTGTGTGTGTGTGTGTGTGTGTGTGTGTGTGTGTGTGTGTGTGTGTGTGTGTGTGTGTGTGTGTGTGTGTGTGTGTGTGTGTGTGTGTGTGTGTGTGTGTGTGTGTGTGTGTGTGTGTGTGTGTGTGTGTGTGTGTGTGTGTGTATAACGCATAACTCATGAACCGATACACGGAAAAACACCAAATTTCAAAATTAAGCTTTTTACCAGCGTTTAACGAGCTGATTAGATTTTGGGCAGAGTCGGAACATCTGGGGGGGTACTTTATAGGTGGTCATTTTTATATTTTGTGGAATATATCTGTTATTTACGTTTGGGGAAGAAAATTCTTCAAATGAAAGTTACTTCTTATTTCATTATCTATAATTTTTGTAATATACAAAATTTTCCTAAAATGGTCCGTATTCGCGAAATTTGACAAAATGTAAAAAAATATTTTTTTTTATAAAAATTGTTCAAACAAAAGTTGTTTCTAATATAATTATCTATAATTTTTATCCTATAGATAATTTCTCTAAAATGGACCGTATTCGAGATATTTGAGAAAATGTGTAAATTTCGAAATTTGAAGAAAACTCAAAAACGGATATAGAAAAAAACATTAAATTTTAAACTTAAGTTTTATTTCGGCCTGACGTGAAATGATTAGATTTTGGACAAAGTCGGAACATCTGGGGGGGTACTTTATGGGAGGCCGTTTTTATATATTATGGAATATATCTGTTATTTATGTTTGGAGAAAAACATTGTTTAAATAAAAGTTACTTCTAATATTATTATCTATAATTTTTGCTTTATGTAAAAATTTCCTGAAATGGTCCGTATTCGAAAAATTTGACAAAATGTGCAAAATTCTGATTTTTATGAAAATTGTTGAAATAAAAGTTGTTTGCGATATCGATCTCTATAATATTTGTTCAAACATGATTTTTTTAAAATGGACCGTAATGGAAAAATTGTAGGAAAAGTGCTAAATTTAAATTTTTCAGTATTTTCATTTTTAATGAATATCTATAGAAAACTGTTTCGCGGTAGATGTGGACAATGTATATATTTAGTTTATCCTCTAAACATTTATAGAGATGCTGCAATAGGTTGTACAAAATAACCGGAAAAAGCATGTAATAACTAGATAGGAAAGTCATGTGTTGGACACATCAGATTTTTTTGTTAGTAAGGGGGTACTTTAGGGGTGGCCACATATAAATTTGGATAAGATGTGGTGACGGCATCTGCACGTTTTTGAAGTCGGTTTTTTTAAATTTTTAATTTAGATCACTTGTACCTTTTCGAGATTAAATTGCACTTTCATCAGACTATCCTCGTGAATAATATATGTGGTAGTGCGGTAGTGGAAGGTTCATTTGTAAATACAAAAGTAAAAGCGTTTTCCAGAATTTCCAGATATCGAAATCTGTAGAGCAGAAAGTACAGTCTGGGCGACGCAATAAAGGTATACTTACTTTGGAACATACATTTGAACGCATATACTTATTGAATTTTTTGTGATTTTTTGAGTTAACAATTTTTCTTCATAGTTTCTTCTCGCTAAACGAATGGATAGTTTTTAGGAGTTACAGAAGTCTTGTATATTTTTATGTTGTACTTTCTCCAAAGTCGCCGTTTATGATGAATTAATGTTACGACATTACTGTATATCCACGGTTTTAACAGATTTTTGCGGCACTTCTTGGTAAAAAAATGTTTGTTAATTATTTTATTAATGGCGTATAGAAAAATGTTCCACATATCATTTACATTGTTAAACTGCTTTAAAATATCATCGAAGTTGATAGCTGCTTCTAAGTTCATTTTGACATCGTTGTAGTTAGTCACTCTGTATAAATGGTAGGTACGTCTTACTGTTTATACTTTTAATATCAACTTGGATATCGGCTATTATTACTGAATGGTCGGAAATACCTATTGAGGGAAGATGTTGAGGTTATATTATAAGTTGTTCATCATTTGTGATGATAAGATCTAGAACAGAGGGTTCATTATTAACTCGGGACCTGGTTGATGTATCTATCGATTGAAAGAAATTGAATAAACTTACTTGTTGAATGTTGAAGTGTCTGAGTTTGGAATATGAGTTATAGGCCAGTAAATATCGGGAAAATTAAAATCACTAACTTCATCTGCATTTTGGATAGTTGAGAAGTTGTTAAGTTTATCAATTAATAGCTTAGTTAAATCTTCGCAGAAATCACCAGGCCTATAGATGCATGCGAAATTAATATTGAAGAGACCTTTAGAATCGTTAAGCAGTAAAATATCTATACCTGCTATTTTTGGGATGTCAGTGTTAATTGAAAAGTTTCGGGCTATTTCGAGAGTAAAAATTGACGCAAAGAGTAATCTATTTTTATTTAAAAGAAAATACAATATTATGATTCAAAAAACAAAACAAACAAAATAATTATAAATTTTTGAGATGCAGAAGAAATAGGATGGGGGTAGGGGTGAAACTCAAAAAACTCCTGGTGGTGACTTTTAGGTTAAGTAAGTAATATAATCTAATAAATTAAGATAATTAGGATGGTGTTTTTAGGCAATAATATCTCTTACTCAAGCGAAGAGCTGCTTTTTGTATTTTAAAGGTTCGTAAGCGCGGATAAATATATTTTTTTTTGCTTTATTTTTTTGTTATTAACCCTATTAATTATAAAACGTATTGACGCTATAGCCGGAACAATGTGTCACCTATACATAGTTGCCCTTTTATGACTCATAAAGTGACTAAAACGTATAGTAAAATAAAAAAAAATAGTGAAATTCTGTTTTCTTTTGGCACTGGCAAATTTCCATTCGTCAAACACTAGTGAAGTTCTCTTGACAATCTACAACTATTTGGTATTAAATCGAATTACAAATTATAAAAAAACAAAGACTAACATTTGACAAAGATGTAATGAAATAACGCGCTATTAAGTGTAGAAAACTTTTAACTATAACCGACGGCATAAAAGAGAAAATAATATAGTCAAATATTATTGTGGTCAAGAAGACTTTCTAGAATAAACTCTAATAAACTGTCACTGGATGGTTTGTGTGATAGATCAGTTAAAATATCTATATATTTTTTTGTTCATCATATATGATTTTTGTAGATGTTTAAAATAAAAATGTATTAAGTGGTTTATACGACAAGGGATATGACTTATAAGATAATAAAAATACATTTTCATAACAAGAAATTTATTCTACATAATTATTATTAAATAACTTTTTATTATTCAAAAATTATACAATATAAAATTAAATATTAAAATATTTTGATTTAACATACAATATGTTTTCATTTAGCACGAAGTATGAAGTATATAAGGGCCGGAAAACCATTCCAAAAACACACCAGTTTACAAACTGATTTCATCATGAAGGTTGCAGTAATTGGATTTGTTTTGATCGTTCTTGTTGTAAACTCTTTAAGTAGTCCAGTGGAGGAGGTGCAGGCTGAAGGTAAGTTGATATTAATTTTATTAAAATTCCTGCAGAATTATAGAAAACATATTTTTTCTATGCCTTGTTTCGTCGGCCACTCACGATGATATGAGACGAATCAGCATCTTTTTTTTAATGATTTCGCTTTTACATAATGTATATTCTATATCCGAAATCTCACTTCTGATGAGACCTATTATCTCTAGAATAGTAGCTTGTTTAGTTATCAAAACATTGCCTTATAAAAGCCTAAAATAAAAATCGAATAGAGTTAAATTAGAATATCTAGAAGGATAATTGAATTTAACCATTTTAGAGATGTTAAGGCCAGGATATTTTGTTTTTAATAAGGTTAATATTATATGACGGATGCCATTTATAATTTTATCCTGCAGAAATCACCAGTCATTAAAATAATTTAGTTCCCTCAATAATTCCTTCAGGCTATAAGGCACATTAAAACATTAATTAATCTTAATTTCACAATAATATTTTTTTGAAGATCTGCATTACATTCTGCGTTAAGTAGGCATTAGTTTTTATATTTACTGAATATGGTATGCCTTTAAAAATATATATTTTGTTAGAATGTTTTGCGTATTTCAATGTCAATAGATGCATATTTGTTCTTGTGGTACTCTGTCACACACGAGAACAATATTTTTCTCTGAGCTATCAATTTAATAATACTACATCTTTCGTGTGTCAAATCTGTTGTATCTTTAAATAACCTCAGTTAAAAATGTAAAATTCAAAATTGAATTGAATTAACATCCAATTGATGAGTTAATAATTTAAAAATGTTTATTAATTTTGTTTCAGAACATAGCCGAGTCAAAAGGTTCTCCTGTGACGTATTGGGTTCTATTCAGGCAGGACCTGTTAAACTAAACGATGCTGCATGTGCCGCTCGTTGCCTGTTGCAGCGCCACAAAGGAGGATATTGTGACGACAAGAGACAATGCCATTGCAGATAAACCAATCTAGACATTATTTGTTACACACAATTTATAAATCATATAAATCTAATAAAATCTAAAATGTCACTTTATTAAATAATATTTGTTTTACTTTAGTACCGAACCAGTATTTGTATATCTAAGGTTGGGTTGCTTCACATCACTTAGGCTTTTTTCGTCCACTATACATACTCCAAAGGCATATCTGCTTCTCAACTTGTTAAATACCTGCTGGTTACCGCTGAGAACTGTCTAGAGTCAGACAACCTCCAAGCTCATTAAAATTCTGGAAGTTGTCAACTGATCAAAAACTTTCTTGTTTGTTAATAGAACGTGACTAAGAATAGTTATCTTCTTACATCAAAGTAGTGTAGGTTAATGACGTCGCCGAGAGGTTCTTCTAGATTCCCAATTTTGGAAAGTGACCATTCGGTGGGCTTTTACCACTCCGATGGTAAATGCCCGAATAAAACCATTTTGTCCACTAGCTGCGTATGGCATAAAGTATATTATTTAAAAAATGTCCCAAAAATATATTAGCTCTACATAATATTTCTGATAATTAATTCAGGAAACAACTTATATAATCTTTTAAATCCAAAATTTTAAGAGTAGGTAACTAAAAAGTGTCCGTCCAATATTTGTCCGTACTTACTACATAAAAAAATGCTAAAACTTTATTCCAAAACTGTCATCTTTTTCTGATAAAAGTGTATTTTGTCTGTCAACACCCTTTCTTCTACTACATCAACCGCTTAATATTAAATCTTAATATTAAATCGGGAACACATATTGCATATTGTAACGTAAAAATTGACCCTTTTCCTGTCTTTTTTGCTAAAAAGCGATCATGTTTGTGTTTTATTGGAAATGAACTAAAAGATCTGTGTCATATTTTTAAGAACTGTGTGGTGTTTCTTTGCGCAGATTTTGCAATATTAAATGATCGTACCTATATGCAACCAGTTATACTCGTAGGTGTATTTGAAACAGTATAATTATTGGTTCGTTTTTTAATTACCAAAATAGCCGATAGAGTTACTCGAAGAAATCCGAAGATTATCGTTCTTTTATCAGCAATAATTACAACAACAACGATTGCTTTACACTGGTGTCACCAGAGATCTGCTATTGTCGTGCTTATTTAATTATTTTCGTTTTGTCTACAAAATTATTTACATATCTTAAAAAAGCTAAAATAATTCAACCTATTTTATTGCAACTAAACACAAAAAGCTTTGAATCATTATTTTACCAAATTAGGTGTAATAATTTTCAAGAAATTCAAAAACCTAGTTAAAGGTAAGTTGGATGTGGCAACAGTGCTTACACTCGCTTGCATTTCTACATTGTTTAATATAAGCGCATATGTGCTTACACCTGGCTTACACATATTGTACCTTTGAAGAAACATGACGTAAGTGCAAACGTACTAAATGTTGGGAATTGTAACGGTTGGAACCGTTTTCGTTATTTTGACGCAAACATCTCTACTCTAATGTCGTTTGTCGTTTATGCCTTGCGTCAAAAGTTCGAATGGATTTCGATTTGAATCTGTCAACGAATAAGTTGATTTAAATTTTTAATTATCTTGGACATCCGATGTACTAATTGTCTTTTAATATTCTTATTGGCCGTCTGATTTTATAAGCCTGGCTATATCTAGACGGTTTAATTCAAGATCTATCTAAAACTTTTATGGGGATTTCTATAAAGAAGTTTATTTTAAGTTATATCAAGAGGTTTAGTTCGAGTTACATTTAAAGAAGTTTCTGGAGATTTAAGTTTATGAAGATTTATACCTAAGAGTTTGGTGCTATCCAAAGAATATCGTTCAGGTCCCTTTAAAGAAGGCCTATGCAAATCTCTTCTTGTATACTACCTCCTGTTATAACAGATAAGTCTATATTTTTTTTTTTTAATAAAATCTAAATTTAAATAAGTGAATCTCTGTGAATTAGAATTTCTTACTGCCTTATCTAAAACTTGGTTTAAATATAATATCTTAATGGTTAGTGATTCTCTATATTTTTATCACTAATCTATAGTCAAGTATAATAAGTTTTAAATATAGTGGTGCCCAACTTTTTTTCAAGGTAATACGAGTTATTTAATAACCTGACCCACTTCCAAAATCATTTGAGCTTAAAACACTATAAAAAATAGATAAAATAAAAATAAAATAAAATAGAATCAGCGATTAAATATTTTAAAATTGTTCAAAGTGTATTAAAAGTGTTAACTGCTTGACGAGATATGCTATTATATGTTAAATTTTTTGTATGGTCTATACAATACTATTTAAAGTTGTTTTAAGAATCTTTGCTAATATTTGCTTTGAACATTTTTTAAAAAACTCTAATTGAATTGCAATTCTGCCATTTTATCTCCAAAATTTGGTCAATTTTGTCCGCAGAAAATAGTTATTTATGCAAAAACTAGTTTATAAAGCTATACTCTTTGGTGAGTGGTAATCTATTCATACGAGCCGTCGGCGAGTGGGAATATTCCATGAGCCAAAAAAGTTAATTTACACATGTGTTGCATTAAAAAATATTTGCAAAAAAAAAGAATAAACAAGTGAGGCATCCCAATATTATTGACTTACGTATACAGTTTTATTAAAGTCCACGCTGTACCAGAGCACAATGTCTACTTTCAAAATGTATGTTTTTATATGCAGATAGCTAGGACACCACTTGATCAAACCCGACCATATTTTGCAATACCCTAGTTAAAAATTCCAATGCTATCAGCTAAGTATTTATATGCCATTTCTTTAAATATACCAGCAATTACCTTCCGCAGTTTATCAAAGTACTTTTGAATTACCGTGTATATTAAAAAAAAGACACAATTTGCAGATCAAGCAAAATCTTAACTTTGTTTATATTGATGAATGGAGAAAACGGCAAAATTGCATTTCTGTCATTGAATCTTAATTACAAATATCGCAAGTGAAAACGAATGATTTCGTAAAAATCGCAAATAAAATAATGTAATATGAAACTTACAACTGAGACACTAAAAGGCCCGATTGTACAATGCGAGTTGAACCTCGGTTTAGCATGAACCTGGTTCTTGGCGTTGTACAATACTAGTTCAGAACATAAACTGCGTTCTTCTATAGGTTCAACAAAGCGGTCATGTTTCCGCGCTTAAACCGAGTTCAGACCTATTTTTGAATTTAGTTAGTTGGTAACACACTACAAAAACATATTTTTTGGGTTGGTACCTTATACGTTACCGTACATAAACCGTACACCGTAGGTAGGTAAATAGAAAACAAGATATATACGAATTACTGAATTCCTAATTAATAGTTGTTTTGTAAAAATGGATGAAATGTCTGAAGACGAGGATTTTTTAGAATTAGAAAGACAACCATAAATATATAGACCAAGGGACAATCATTTTGTGAAGTGGTACAATACTGAATTTGTAAAAAGATTTGTGATTTAAATTCACTTTCAATTTTTATCCAGCACTCATTCTTCTTGTGCGTTACATTCACATCTGTGTTTTTATTTTCTAAAATATCTTCATATTTTTTCACTAGTTTCACTAGTCCTTCTTCGGCATGCGTGAAGTTTGGCATTCTTTATATTATCAGTTTGGAAACACAAGGGAAAACTACGTATAACCTCTAAAAATAATAATTTTATTGTAAAAATGCCAAAAATGACATTTTATATAGCTCATTTATTTTCTAATAAGAGAAACAAAGATACACTACGTATTTAGTAAAATTAAAATCTGGCAACCCTGAACAATGAAGTTTATCTAAACCGACATTGAGCGGGGTATGTACAATTCATACCAATTTTTAAAGTAAGTTCAACCATTTACCGAGTTCACCTGAACCTAGGTTTTAGCTTGCTTTGTACAATCGGGCCTAAGAAACAGTTTCGGAAATAATCGAGGAGACTTCGAGAAAGCAAAATAATTCTAGATTTCGTTTTTCCACAGAAGAAATTTAAATTTCTTTGGAATTATACCATAATCAATTCAAAAAGTACAAATTTGCACTTGTGTCATTCTTCTTCCAATGAAGCGATATGAAAAGACAATGGCACAAAATATATTTAGGTTTCTATTTCTGCAGATTAATGGGCAAATATCAAAACGATAATGGTGCAACTAGCTATTCTGAATCTGTTGCACCAGTAGTGTGGAACATGTGGGTCAATGCACCGCAGATATAACCGTCATCTACCAAAAAGGAATCTAACTGAACGTTTTACTTTTTTCTCAGATAAAGCTGTATTTTGGGACTTTTGTTTCTATAAAAGTGCGATATATTCATTAATACAAAAAATGTTATCGCCGTAAAATCCTTCTCTTTGCTTTCATCAAACGTCTCTTCACTTCGGCCCTACAACTGAAGTGCATTGACTGTCGAACTAATGTAAGCATCATGAATAATAGGGAGTTTCAGTGCAGACACGAACGTAAGCAAAATAACGTTCGTCTTTTAAGAGTAAGCACGCAATGTAGCGGTTATAATAATAATAATAATAATAATATAATAATAATGTTTATTTACCAGCAATATATACATTCAGATACAATAAAATAAAATCCAATAGGAAATAAAATGTAAATAAACAAGAAATGTGTCACTGAATCTGCTCACTGTACAAAGTACAATGACAGATTGTGTGTGACAAAAAATAAGACAAAATAAAATAAATAAAACTTCATAAAAGAGTTTCATTTGAAAGCGAAACGCAAATTGTTACTACGTACGTTTGATGACATTTGTTTTGTTTACATTTTGTAAATCTAACCTGACTTTCCAAAAAGTATTTTTGTGTTTTAGTAGATGATTTTAATAGTTTGGAACCTTTTTTATACATTTATTCAAAAATCAGTTAAATAAACCAAGATATATATATAATTCTTTCCCGGATAGTTCTAATACTAATGCACTCTCCTATTATTTGTATTAAATTAACTTGAATGGTGGCCAATTTTCTTGAATCTTCAAATTGATTTAGGCCATATACTTCACGATCTAGATGATTATCAAATTCTTCCGTAAAACGGAAACGGCTGCTACCTCTTGCATCAGTTTTAACACTAGCC